GCAAAAATGTAAAGGGGGTGGTTACGTTTAGTAGTTTAGAAGGGTAGGTTGAAAGTACAAATAGGGTCAAAACGTGCCCTATTATGAGTTAAACATATTCCCCAAATTTCATTTTCCTAGCGTTTATGGTTTTTGAGAAAAAAAAATTTAACCAAAATTTTCCGCCATTTTTGAAGGGGTGTAGCTCCTTAAGGGAGCCGAAGTCGCCCATGGTTCATATATCAAAGTACCCTTAAAATTCACTAAAGAATCACCCCTTGAAGTTTGTTGCAGTCATTCAGATACATCCTGTATATAAGGTTAAGTGTCATATGAAGTTAGCTGTTAGCTAGTAAAAAGGGGGGGGGGCGGTAAATTCAAAATTATAAATTAATCTTTGTTCTACTTTAAGAAATCCAACAAGCAAAAGAAAATTGCTAATCTTCATTTATATATAATCTATAAACATTTATAAAATTTTTTTTCCTTGGGTTCAACAACAGCCGACTATTCAAAAAATTCGCCATGTAAAAGGATAAGGGGTGAAGAAGGGATAACATACAATGGCTAGGAGAAAAAGGAATAGGTGGAAAGGAGTAATAGGGAAGGTAGCCAAGAATCCAGAAACGGTGCGATATGAAACTGCTACCATGTTTCATATCCTCGTCCGTCTGGGGGTCTGGGAGGGGTGTATGGTTGACGAAGTTCCATATATAATGGCCTTTGGGTGAACTGCAGCTGATCATTCAAACATTCAATTTCGGGGTTATTTTTCTTAAATTTTCCTATCTCATAAGCCTCCAGAATCTCAAGTAAATATCCCTTATTCTGTTGATGTAATAATCTACTGTTGTCTCTATCATGGAAGTCATGGATGAGTTCTAGTAAATGTCTGCCAAAATTGGACGAAATTCAACGAACAGAAATTCTGTTCAATGCATACTTGAAAGAGTTTATGAATAGTGTCAGATAATAAATCGTTCTTTAAGTCAGCCGTTAATAACTTTTTAAGTAGAATAAGTGTTTCTTTAGTTGGTATGTTGGTATAAAGATTGACAATATCAAAAGATATCATTATGCAATTATTCGGAAGTTTTATTGTCTTTAGTTTGGAAATAAACTCGTATCTGTTAGTGATTGTGTGGGTTGGTTTGAAGGTCAAATATTGTTTGCTAAATTGAATCAAAAATTTTGAAATCTTATAGGTGGTAGAATCGATAGATGAGATAATGGGTCTTATGGGGATATTCGGCTTATGTAGTTTTGGAAGGGAGTACAAACGAGGCATCTTAGGGTTCATTGGTAACAAAGAAATAGGTTTCTCGATGTATGTGGACAAAACATCTTTCATATTGTTTAGCAGTTTTCTAACTCTTAAATGGAAGAGATTAAGTGGGTTTTTCTTTTTTGTAAGAGTTTCAAAATGATTATCAGTTAGGAAATCTTCGGTTTTTTGAATATATTGTGATTTATCAAGGATAACCAAACCTGCATTTTTATCGGCAATAGCAGAAATGAGGTTATTGGTTTCTTTTTTCTTTTTGATGGATGAAAGTGTCTTGTATTCTCTGTTGATTCCTGGTGTATAAGTCCCTAGTTGTAATTTGTTTGGTCTTCTATCTTCATTGATCACAATTCTATGTATCTCCTGTCTCAGTTCATTATTGGTTGGGCAACTCTTTATAATCGCTTCCAACTCCATAGTTGCTCTTCTAAGTTTAGGTTTTTCATAAATAGCATATTTATGACCTTTGCTTAAAAGGTTTCTTCTTCTTTTCTTCTGAGTTAAAAGTTGTGGAGGATAAATTAGTTATTCTTTGATGGAACTCTCTATCATTGTTGTAGGTTTCTGGATCTTGTGGTTTGGTTACATTTAACCGTTCTTTTGTTAATACGTTCAACTTTCTATGTTTTCTTTCCCCGCTATGAATGAGAGACGTATGTAGAGTGTGTGTTGTAGAAGTGATGATATTTTCCAATTCAACATGATGGTAATGAATGGTTAGTTCTTGATAAGTGTGTAATAGTTCGATGTTCAAGTTGTTGACTGTGTTATAGTGTTTGATCTCCTCCTTAATTCTGTGTGTATTAATTCGTTGGATTATGTTGTTTGGTGTGTCCTTCGGGTATTTGTGTTTAGTAAATGTGGGATTTAAATTATATCGATTTATTATATCGAAACCGGTTAAGTGAATAAATTTATATCACCGTAAAGTACGATTTCGTTGATTTCTACTATTTATAAATTAAATAGTTCAACAAATGTATTTGTTTTAAATATCAGAAATATGTTTTTTTAATTTGTAGTTATAATTTACAGGAAACTGTAAATTTAATTTCTTTGACGATACTAAAAAAGTTTATTTTTAGCTTTATTCTAAAACAATAAGAAATAGACTATATAACCCCATATTTTTGTAATCAGAAAAAAATAACGAATTTAATAAGCGAATAATCAGTGGTTGTTTCCATTTAAAAAAACGAAAAGTTTCATATCTCAAAATCTAAAACCGAAAAAATTTTTTTGACTACGTCATCAGATTCTCTGTAAAAAGAGTGTCCATATAATGTCTTAATTATAATACTCCACCTATAATAATAACCAAGATAATTGCACTTGTTGGTTTTACGATATTTTCAATTTTGGCCTCTAGGGGAAAAACAAAAAAGGATAGCGCTTTGAGGTTTTTGAACGAATTTGAACCATCCTGTACTTTTCGTTATATTTTCACATGATAAGTATGCAACCCAAACAGCACGAATAATTTCAAAATTATTTATTTTAATTTTTTCATTACAAAAATATTTATTAATAATTAAATTTTGTGGGTTTTTTGGTGATCATCGACAGCTTTCTTCAATTTAGTTTCGACGTCTTTTCCAACTTGCGTTAAATTATCGGCGATTTGCTTGGTTAATTGAGTTATTTTGGTGTTAGCTTCATTGACACTTGGTTGCAAGTTCTTCGACATCTTCTCAAAACCATCAGTAACCGTTTTAAAACTAGCATCGAATTGTTTACGGATTTCCTCAGTGGATTTTTGCATCTTTTTCTCGGGGTCAATTTGATCCACAACCTTTTGGATGCTTGCTAAAGCCTCCCCAAGTTTACCCTCGAAAGTTTTTAAGGTTTTTTGAACTTCCCCATCATGAGCTTTAATCTGGGAATAAAAAATTAATATAAAACGATTTAAAATTGAGGGGTTAACTCACTTCTTTATCAACTTTCGTTTTAATTTGGTTTAAGTTGTCTGCAAAGACTTTGGCTTGATCGTTGATGGTTTTAAGGACTTTTTCTGATGTAATGTCTTGTACCCCTAAAGTTTTGCTGATGTTATCACCAATTGTTTTTACGTTATCAGCAATAGTCTCCATTGGGCCTTTTTGGGGCGCTGGTTTTGCAATTGAGCTCTATTTATATCAAAAAAATTAAGAAAAATTCTAATTTAAATTAAATTTACTTACTTGAATAGCTAAGAAGGCCACAACAACAATTAAAACCTTTTCCATTTTCTTTTTGGGTTTATTTCTCTTCTAGTTCTTCTTGCTTCAAGCTTTGAATGCTTTTTGATGCTTCCAACTCGATTTTTTCCTCCTTAAATACTTCACAAAAGCAGATAAGAACTCAATTAAATTCTTATTAATCTTAATTCAATATCTTAGGGAATGTTTGATCACTTTGGGTCAAAGATTAAAGTTTGGTTTGTTTGTTTACAAAATCGCTTTTATAAAATGGAATTTAATGAGTAATTAATGATAATAATCAATTATAATAATATAAGTTAATACTTTACCTCAATGTTTGTTTATTCCCATTGTATTTAGCGTATAATTCGCGTAATTTAACCACATCGATATTTGCTGTTGCCTCTAAATACCCATTTTGTGTCAAGATAAGGAAGATATCGGGTTGAATCATTTTATCTAATTCCTGTTAAATCAATGAGTAATTATTGGGCATAATTATGTAATTAAATTTACCTCCATCTAGAATTTGTTGTTTGTATCTCTGATTTGGGTTCTGATAGGTTTTTTTAAACTCTAAGTATTAATTGATTTCCATCGCTTCGATTGCGTATCTTTGGATTGCTCATGATTCATTATGAAAGTATTAAAAGAAATAGGTTAATTTTTTTGAAATTAACTCAAGATAATGAGAAATTATTGTATAGGTTATGTTGTTATGTTTTGACGCAAGGTATCACGTTTATGAACGTATCCCCCGACGCTGTGACGTCATTGGAAGAATTGACATTTCTAAGTTTTTATTTATACAGTGTATTTTACTTAAGAAGCAANGTGCTAGTTGAATTGCTGATCAAATGCCCTTTAATTAATGATAAGTATGTCGTATGTCTAACTTTTCCTGATATTTAGAATTTAAAGAATAATGTGTAATAAAATATGCGTTATTGTACTTAATATTATATTCTGTCTATTTTTATCAGTTTTTTTTGTTCTTTCTTTTATTATTTGATTAATATTTTATAATGTAAAATAGTTTTGCTGCCATATACCAAATTTTAATACGACTTGGTACTTTATAAGATTTAAAAAATGTAAGTAACAAAATATACAATTTTTATGCCATATAATTTATAACTTTACAGAAAATAAGATGCACATGTTAAGAGATACCTCAAAATCTTTTATATAGCGCATTAATGCTTGTACAAGGGAAAATGGGCGACATTTTGAACAACTTCTAAATATTAATTAAATGAATACCTACTTGTTGAGCAACGTTTAGTAATTGTTTATAGTTTCTTGCTGCATTTCTTTCAAATAATTTAGTAATAAATTAAAAAAGGGATTTATTGATCTGCCATTTTATTGTATTTTTATCACGTTTTTATTTATTAAAGTTTTTTTTTAAATTGTATTTTAATGTAATATTACTGATTTACAAATGACAGACAAACAAAAATGAAAAAACCAAAAAAAAAGTGACAAAAAAAGGACAGAATACATTACATTCTGTTACTTTTTTAAGTACAATAATGACATTTTATTACACATTTTTCTTTAAATTCTAAATATTAGGAAAACTATTAAAAATATGTAAAGGGTTTTCATCCATATTGGTGTTTTATGTTTGAAAAATAAAACTGTATTTAATACTCCAATATATTATTTATTGTTGACTCTACCGGTTTCGGCTTAAGCCATCATCAGGAGTGTATAAGGATTTTAAAAAATCGTAAAATACAAACAAATATAATTAAAATTAAAAGCTATTTTACCTTGTCAAATATAGGTTAGGAATTTCATTCGGTATTAAATTTGAAGATTTATGTTGTTTTCCAACTTTAAACGGGTTCGTATATTTTATGTTAACTAATTTGTAATTAAATGTCTGAATAACAATGTATACTAATAAAACAACTATACCAGAAAAGTCGGAAAGTAGCGGCCAGAGAATCACGTTGCATTGGGACCATTTAGGTTATGTTTAACAGCGCATGCGTAACGAAATATCAATTTGTGTAATATAAATTCAAATTTAAATTATCTCAAAAACACTTAATTTACAAAAATCAATCAAAAAAGAGGCGGTATGGAGAGTGGAAGGTAGGTGTGAAGGACCCTATGTATTGCGAAAACAAGACACACCAAAGAATTGTAATCCTCGTGTGCATAGGGGGAAAAGGGATTATGGTAGAAGGATAGGGGGGAGGGGAGGATTTCAGTTGGGTGTATTTTTCTCTGGTGGCTTGGTCTTAATGTTATATGGGTTAGTCAAAAATCGATAAAGTGGTATCTTCTGTAATTGTATTTGGTCGTTTAGATTTTCTCTGTCTGGGTTAGTTTTCCGGATTTTATCTATCTCATATGCTTCGAGTAAGGTGAGTTTGAAACCTTTATTTTGTTGATGCAGGAGTTTCACATTTTTGGCTTCATCAAAGTTGTGGTTGTTAGTAAGTATGTGTCTACCAAAGTTCGAATTCTCGTCGCGTTTATGTTCTTTGACTCGTTGTTTAATATTTCTGCCCGTTTCTCCAACGTAAGTTGCATCACAAGTGTCACATTGTAAAAGGTAGACGCCACTTTTAGACATTGGATCGAGTTTATCTTTTGCATTATTAAGTATCTGTAAAAGGGTTGAATTTGTCTTAAATGAAACATAATGTATGTTATATCTTCTGAAGATCCTTTGTACATTCGTTGCTAGGTTTCCTGTAGTTAGTTGGTTCTTTGTTTTTTGTTAGTAAAATTTTGTTTATGTCAAGGTTTGTATGTTTGTTTGTATATTTAGAAAGCAAATTGTCAATAAATTGGGGTGGATATTTATTGTTATGTGCTATGTTCTTGATTATTTGTATTTGCCGATCTCTGGATTCTTGTGTCAAGGGTGTTTCATGTAAACGGTGTATGAAGGAGTTAAATGCTGCACATTTGTGTGTGTGGTGGTGATAAGAATCTGCGGGGATTATGGTGTCTGTTTGAGTAGGCTTTCTGTAAATTTCATACTCTATTCTATTATTAATTCTTTTCAAGGTAAGATCCAAGAAATTAATGGTTTTATTCTTCTCAATTTCCATGGTAAATTTGATCTTGTGATGGTAGGTGTTGATGTGTTGAAGGAGCTCGGTGATGTTATATGGGGAGGAGGAATTATCCCAGAAAATTAGGATATCATCTACATATCTTTTCCATAATATTATGTGTTTATAGAATGGATTAGTTGGTTGGAGAAGTGATGATTCGAGTTGGTCAATGAAAAAATCCGCGAGTAGTCCACTAAGTGGCGAACCCATTGGGAGTCCATCACTATATTTAAAAATCTCACCATTAAATTGGCAAAAATCGAGTTCAGTGCACTGTTTTATTAATTTGAATGGAATTTGATGTTCGGCGTTGGTTGTGTTCAAGTGTGTTTCCAGATACTTGTGAACAATGGCCAGAGTTTTATGGATGGGTATGTTGGTGTAGAGGTTTGTGATGGCGAATGATATCATCTGGAAATCGTGAGGGAGGTTGGTATTCGAGATCGCTTCTATTAATTCTTTTCTATTCTTAATGGTATTACTAGGTTTATATTGTAATTGTCTGGTCATAAAAAGGTTAATGAATTTGNGAAGTTGACCATAACTTCATTAATATTGAAGATAAATATGTCGTGTTTGTACTCATTTTAAAGGATTTTTAATGAAGATTACAAATATGTCAAAATTGAGGTTGATATTTTAAATCTGAAGTTAGTTATTATATAATAGACAAATGGACAACTACATGTGTTCTCTCATGATGTATTCGTTATTAAAAAAAACTTTAAAATGAGTCCAAACATGATGCACTTATCTCAAAAAACAAAAAAAGGTTAAACCCGAAGATAGCAATTTAATTTTTAATTTTAATACCAACCTTAATTTTATACTTTTTTTTATTATATTTTTGTTTTTGTGACAAATATTAAGACATTTTATAAAAATTAAGAATATGTCAAAATGACATTGACATTTAAAACCGGAAGTTGCTTATATCTTGAATAATATTGGAATTAAATGTATCATGTTTGGGCTCATTTTAAAGGATTTTTCACGAGAATTACAAATATGTCAAAATTGACGTTGATATTTCTAACCGGAAGTTGACCATAACTTCATTAATATAGAAGATAAATATGTCGTGTTTGTACTCATTTTAAACGGTTTTTAATGAAGATTACAAATATATCAAAACTAATTTTGACATTTTAAATCTGAAGTTATCATATAATAGACAAATGGACAACTTCATGGTGTTCTTTCGTGATGTATTCTTTATTAAAAAAAACTTTAAAATGAGTCCAAACATGATGCACTTAACTCGAAGTTAGCAACAATGAAGATAGCAATTTAATTATTAAATATTAATACCAACCTTAATTTTTAATTTTTTTAATTGTATTTTTATTTTTGTGATCAATTTTAAGACTTTTTATAAAAATAAAGATTTTGTCAAATTGATATTGACATTTCAAACCGGAAGTTGCTTATATCTCGACTAATATTAGAATTAAATGTATCATGTTTGGGCTCATTTTAAAGGATTTTTCACGACGATTACAAATATGTCAATATTGACGTTGACATGTCTAACCGGAAGTTGACCATAACTTCATTAATATTGAAGATAAATATGTCGTGTTAGTACTCATTTTAAACGATTTTTAATGAAGATTACAAATAGGTTAAAATTGATGTTGACATTTTAAATCTGAAGTTAGTTATCATATAATAGATAAATGGACAACTTCATGGTGTTCTTTTATGATGTATTCTTTATTAAAAAAAATATTAAAATGAGTTCAAACATGATGTTGGCAGATATCACTAGAACTAGAAAAATTCGCTACACCCTAATTTTACTAAACCGGAATTTTTCTAGGTCTACTGTTAGTTCTAGTTTTAATTGTTACTAAGCGTTAAATTGTTGTCTATTTTTACTGAAATAGAACTAACATTAGTCCTAGAACTAGAATCATTCAGGTTTAGCCGCACGTCTCTAAAGACGGCTAAACCCGAATGTTTCTACTTCTATCTAGTGTTCGGAATTTGAGGTACTTAATATCTAGATTCATGTTATTAGCTAAATTTTCTTGATAAACTGTTTTTAATTTTTTTTTCAAAAATTTTCTGATATAATAGTTCTAAAATTTTACGTCATCGTAAAGAGAAAACAAATCTCTATCAAATGAGCCTAACGAAAGGATATATTGCCATTAAAAAAACTTCAAGTGTTATTCATTGCTCATTTGTTTTCTAAAATAAAAACAATGGAATGCCTTATTATGGCAAACAAAATATTAGTATTCAATTAGTTTTTGTGGATTTGTTGGTGATCATCAAAAACGTTAATTGAGTTATTTTTGGATTAGCTTCAACATAGAAATGATTAGTGAAGTTATGTTGTTCTTATTATTATATATCTTCTTTCTTCAGTTCCTTTGAAGTCTTCTCTGTCGATTTTTTTCTGAGATAATGTAAATTAGAATAAAACAATACTTTTTTTNTTAAAAAGGTACTACATTCTTTTATTAATTTTTGGTTTTAGTGTGAAAAGTATTGAGAGGGTTTCGGGTGATTCTGGCAAAATTATTGTCTTTAAAGAAATTATAAGTCTTTTCAAGGTAGTCATTTTCATGTATAAATACGATACCTGCATTTTTATCTG